GGGGCTGGCTAGCTAATCCTTCAGTTGAGTCTCGCCATAGACTCCAAAACATTTAGGGGAAAACCAAAAAACCAAACCTCAAGTCGCTCGTCTAAAAGGACAACAGACAATTGAACCAAACTATATTTTGCCATATAAATCTAACTTAAACCAAGTTAGGAATGGAAAAATAGTTTGGAATGCACTTCTATAGGTATAAATCCCTATATATAAATTTTTCAGCATGACCCACCCTTTAAACTGGTAACTTTAGCTGATCTAAACCATGATAGCTTACACACCAGGTGCATATAGGTTAAGGTCTTATGTAAAATCCCACTCATAAGCCCAACTAAAACCACATAAATGCATAACACATAGAACCAGAATGGCACCCACTGGGAACCACCAGCAGCAACCTTCACTGAAGGGACCTACAACTCCAACGTGGGTCTCCAATCTCCATCCAGTGGTCGCCTCTGCAGTTCAATCGAGGGAACCCCTCTGTATGCTGATCAATCAACACCTCCAATCGTTGTGGATTTATCGTTGTGGATAATATGACTTTTTCCAATGGATTACAGACTTTGTTTCCAAGGGGTTAAAGCATTGCTACAATGGAATTACTAACATAAAGGAATTATCAACAACATAATGGAATTACTAACAACATTGTAGAATTACCTAAACCGTTGTGGGATTGCCTTCTTTGACTTTTGTTTTCCTCTTGCTAGATTACATCAAGCTCAAGGACATTCGGAGGCGTAAGTTCATGTTGGAATTCATCCCCATGGACAGGCAATGATTTCCAAAGGGGGACTGTAGTGAACTCGGCCTCTGACCAAAACCTGCCTCTGAAGACCTTCATGGGACAGGAACTGTTATTTCATTGATTTGAATCCAGAAATACAAATTAGCTCATCCAGAGTCTGTCTAATTGTATCCTGAAGTAATCAATTGAAAGAACACTCTTCTTTTTATATTATCATTACTATTTTACAATATCTTGATAAATCAAAAGTGTGTTTAGTTCATACCATTTCTAAATGTTGAAGTGAACCACTCATTTTAAATCAACTGTCAAACAGTATTAATGATTTTTTATCCTCATTTAAATTAGAAATCAAGTTAAATGTCTATTTACAAAGTAATTATGCATTTTTGATCTTCCGTCTGAATGAGAAGTAGTGAAGTCGGTCGAAAGTCAGAAAGGAGTTATTAGAACGAAGTGGATTGTTTTTAAACCTAGCAGACAGTAAATAAGAAGCTACTGGCACCTGCTTTCTCTCACTTCGCCATAACATTTCTCCTGTGTATACTAAAAGTCCCTAAAACATTCCTACTGTTTTCTTGACTTGTAATGACCCTCTGACATCACTAGAACCACCCCCTGTTGGTTGTTTCAACCAATCAGGAAGTCCTGAAGTGACCGGAAGTGAGAACACTTTAAGAGTCCACACTTCCTAGAACTCGTCAGTCTGTCAGTCAGTCGGTCAAGTTCTCCTGAGTCTTCTGGAGGCTTCTAGTCTCTCAAGCTTCAAGTTCTCTCATGAAGTCTAGTCTTAAATTCCGTCTTCGGAGTCTGTGATGGATTCTTCCACATCTGAGTGGAACCTCTGACGGACTCACAGCTTGCTGTGTATCCACCGGGAGATGAGCGTGTTTGTTGAACGGAGTAAGCGGCACGACTCCTGATGTGGCCAGCCGCTCTTACCAGAGACATTGAAAGGTAGCATGGAAATTGACCTCTGTGCCGGAGTTGATTTATCTTCTGCAAAGGTAACGAGTCGTCACGCACCAAGTGCACCTGAGAGTTGGGCTGGTGTTGAAAGAAGCGTGCTAATTCTGGTAAACAAAACACCTCCCCTTTAAGTGTTTAAACTCTTCATTTCCCATCTTTAAACTCTTCTATTTTGTCAGTAGTCTAGATGTCTTCTTCAAGTCCTGTTGTCTTATTAAGTAAAACGTGCCAATATCCTGATGCATGCTCAATAATCCAGGTAGAAAAATCCAAAAAAGTTCAATCTGGTCCTCTGGAAATTAAAAAAAAAAAAAAAAACAAAGCAAAAAAATATAGAAACGTTTCGTCTCTCATCCAAGAGACTTCCTCAGTCTGAGGTGTTGTTTTCAGCTCAGTCTCTTAAATAGCACCTTCTCAGAGTGGATCAACCAGTTTGCTGCTGACAACCAAAACCAGCTGATCACATGCTCAAGAAAGACCATCAGCCTTACAATGGATCATTAGCACACTGATGGCTTTTTACTATTCACAGAGGGCTGAGTGATACTAGCAATCACAGCATTGTAAGAGGGGGACAGTTGAACCCGGAGGCCTCCACCCCTGTTTAATGATGGACGATTTCTTTTCACAAAGATGGCCTCCTTTACTCCTCTCTCAAACAATTGTTCCTCTCTATCCAGGATGTGAACATCTTCATCCTTGAAAGAGTGACCGCTGGCCTGGAGATGAGTGTAGACTGCAGAATCCTGGCCTGATGAT